ATAGTTAAACCAGTTATCGGCCAGACTGTCCACTTGAAGACGAGGATTTCTGTCATGGCCACAAAGACAGCGGGAGAGACTTGTCCCGACAAAACACTGTACATCATCACTGCTAGACGGTTGCACAGGAGCCTGACGATGGCTTGATAACCCCAGATTGTAGCAAACGGATGAAAAGTTGGAAAAAAAAACCCAAAAAACAAAGAAAAGAAAAGAAAGTGGGTTCAACCCAAAAGTGAAACGAGGGCAGGTGCAATCAGACAACAAATGGGCACCATTTTTCCACTGAGTCAATCGTTCAGTGCACACCCTACTGAGGGTGCTGCTCTCTGATCTGTAACTTCAATGTGTTTTAACACATGGGACAAATGTACAAAGTACACTGATATCTACATGTATGTATACCTATGAACATAAATCTTTAATGGTATGTGCTGCGTGTCGCCATATCTTTGAAAAAAAAATTGCCCCTGGCCTTTAGTGATGCACTTTTTCACTTGTCAGAGCTTAGTAATGCTAGACAAACACACGGGCATAATTGGACATGAGTAATGTACATTGTACACTACCAATATCTATTCATGCAAAAATGGTCTGATCAAGCACATTAGGTTTGTAAGATTAGTTGGCATAAGCTGACAGCGCTGCTGAGCCTGAATTGATGCAGATGCATCACTGCACATGTCTAAAACACATGCTCACATTTGCTTCCAGTTCTCCGAGTGCATGTACATGTACATGCTCGTGAGGTCAACGAACTTAGAACTTTCTGGCAGGTTCAGGGAGTGATTGTTCAGAAGTCTAACTGAAACAAACGTCTTCCACATCTTAGATTCTTTCTGCAATCGAAACGGCTGATGGGTCAATAATTTTTCAAACTGTTAAAGATGCAGAGTCCATGGCAACTAAAAAGTCAACACTGTGAATGGGAATGGGAATATTTTGGGAATCGGAATATTTTGTGAAAAAAATTTGCATTCACATTGTCAATCCATTTCACGAGGTGTAAAAATAGTTTCTCACTTGTGTACAAACAAGAGTATAAACATTTTCCCTTTTGTGTGAAAAGGCATGATAATGTTTTCTTGCTTGTGGGAAAAGGTGTGAAAACGTTTTCCTAATCAGGAAATTACAAATAGTTTTTGAGATGAAAATGAATTCTTTGGAAAGAGGAAAAACTGTGAAAATAATTTCCCACAACTCTCAGTAGCAACGTACTACCGGTATCTTTGGCTAATAGCATAATTGCATGACATACTTTTTGTTACCATGCTAAAATCCGCCAACTCATGGCGGTTATAATGAGGCAACTGCTAGAGATAGAGATGGAAACTGAAATCTGAAAAGCACTCAAAAATTCCAGCTTTCCCCAAATCTTGTATCTCGGTCTCAAGCTTTGTCAGTATTTAAGGCAGAGTTGGGACGGCTTGTTCATGTCCATTCATGAACAGCTTGATTTGTTGTTTGTGGCTCAGCTGCTTGAATGCTGGGAATGCAGAACCGGTTATCGCCGGTAGTTAGCGGCAAGCAACAAGCAGGGGTGTGAGTGGCCACTTCAAATTAAAGCTGAAGACAGCTAGCCAAAAAGCTGAGATGTAAAAAGTTCCCATACTTTTGTACTGACCAGGTGTACAGAAAGGCTGAAATTCAGGGTCAATATCTAAAAAAAAAAAAAAGAACTGCAATCAGCTAAAAAGCTGAATCCACACACCCCTAAACAAGCAACAGGGCGGCGTCCACGTACGTTCTTCGAGGGTTAATGATTGGATAACTGGGCTGAATTCTTTCCAATTTAAAAAGGAACATTCATGTCATGGAACATTATTAATGTTAATTTTTGCAAAACTTCCCAACTCTCCGACTTTGTAAGCCATCTATTTGTCCGGCAGACGACGTTTGTCTGAATGGTCCGCCTCGCCCAGATGTGTTTGCTCCAACTCAGGTCAGCTCAGGTGGGACTTGCGTAGATATCAGTGGGGGCAGGCAAGTCAATAGCATGAAAAGGGCTCATCTCACACTTCAGACAATGAATTCACAGCACGGTCCACAGACTGAGGTACATGTATCATGTGTTGATATGACCCAGAAGGCAATTGCACTATATTTATGCGCTTCTCACAGCACCACATAAAACATCCCTCGAAGTACGAATATAAAAATGTACGGTGAACACCTACAAATGAACCAGCCCACAAAATGATTCTCCAGGCCTTTTACTTCGAAGATTCCATCCGTGTTTTAAAGTTTGCAATCAAAACAGCAATGTGAGCCCTTTATTTTGTCTCTCAGTTTGGCACTGTGAGGAAAGTGGACATTACAAAAATGTGCAAAAAATCATTTGAAGACTTTCATCTTAGGAGTGGCTCTAATGAATGAAATTCAGTTGTCAGGTTGGGTCGCAGGTTTTATTTTTGTAAGACAGATGCTCCTGAAAAGAATCGGGGACTTGAGACATGACAATTGGATTCCCTGCAGAATTTTTATTTCTCTGGATTTCCCCACAGAATCCTGAAAACAAGTGAAATCTACAGGCACCCCGCTGTCCCACAAGACATGGGACTCCAGCTCATTGACAATCCGGTGCCTCCTTTTCCGAGTAACCAGCGAACACCCCCAACCACCCTCATCACCACGCCCCAGTGACCAGTCAGTCCAGTTTCAACCTACCAGTCTTTTTTTTTTCCAGTGTTTGTTTTTACCACAAATCTTCACGAATGTTTTAAATTACTTTCAGGGAACTTGTTACTTTTTTGTGCCCTATTCTACCGGGGGTACCTAGTCCCTTGTACGAGTATGGAAATAAATGCATGCTACTGCCGGGCAAAGTTTCAAGTATTACACAGTTTAATCTCCCCTAACTCTGGCCTGAGACTCAATAAGCCTTCCGGCAAGATATTTTTGTCACCAATTGCTTGTCTCCCTCCATGCCCGGCCTCCTAATCCAATTTGAGCCTCCATCCAGCAGCCGTTCATTATCCAGAATAGATCCGCTCCCAGCAACTATAAAGGCTACTTAGAAATGACCTCAAACACAAGACAGCCTCTCATTTGGCCCAACATGATGGGATATAATTTCCCACTAACTGCTACATTCAAGGATTTTACCACCATTAAACCAGGAAATTTCTCATTTAATTGGCACGTGCGGGAAGGGAAACGTGACTCTGATCACAGTAAATGCATCCAGGGTACCACTCATTCCGATAAATGACCGGCATTACCACTGCGGGTATTGCTGTTGCTTTCAGAGTGAAATGAACTGATGTGAACAAAACGTGTGAAGACAAACATAAGCGTATCAATGTCTGGCAGCTAAACCTTCTTGATTAACAAGAAAAAAAAAAATAAAAAAAAATAAAAAAGTACTGCTGTGCTGCAAAGATGAAAATGGACATGTGTCACGTCGTGTGAAATCAGCTTCGATGCAGTCGAGTACTCTTCAAGTATCACGCTTACTACGAAGTACTGAACAGAGCCCAATTTCATGGGGCTGCTTACGGCAGAATTCCGCTCTTACGATCTCCATTCTGCACTTACTGTGCTAGCAGAAAGATTCTGCGCTAACCCTTTAAGCACAGAATCCTCAGTTACGGGATGTACACATGCGCACAAGCCAAAATTCCTCGCTAACCCGTGAAATACATTCGCCGTACATGTGGGCACAAAATTTTCTGCTACAGTAAGCACCAATTTTTCACTTGCGGTAAGCAGCGCCATGAAATGGGACCCTGGTTGTACATGTAAGTGTGGATAAAGCTGGAGAACATGGACATTGGATGGTAAATGCACAAAGGCAGGATGATAAACGTCATTTCCATGTACGTGTTACAACTGCAGTACTCAGCCCACGATATACCTGTACCAAAGAACTTATTGTACCTACAAGTACATGCACCTGTGCCAAAAAAAAAAGCGGTGTCATTGAAACACGACGGTGAGCTGGTTCACCTTCACAGCTCTTCATTCATTTCCATGGTTTCCATAAATTTGGCCACTGATGCTTACTAGGGAAGGGGCAAGCGCAGTTCATCCACAGCGTGAGTCAAATTCAGACGGTATTCTGCTACAGTACATTCTATAACTTGCAAAGAATGGAAACCGGTCTACATCGGTCTCGAAACGGGAGCACAGTTAATGCGGAGAATTGTCACCCATTACACAAGAAGCATTTCACTCCTGGACCAGTGAAATGCCCTCTGAGGGCAGAAATGTTTTTGCTCTTTCAACTTTGAAGGGCAACTTGTGCAAACTGGAAAACCAATATTGGCACACCCCAAAACAGCCAGTTGTATTCTGGAGGGCACAAATTGGGGACTGCACACGATGGATGATCACCCAATAGATAATCCTTCAACTCAATTTTTTCTTTCTCCCCTGAGAAATTCAACTGCTGATGTAAATCAAACATTTTCTTCACTCCCACAGTACAAGGGCACATACTGGCACAATAGCAATGGAATCTTTGAAATTCAGACCATCACAGATGCAAATCCTAAACCCCATCAACTCAATTAAAAAAAAACAATCTGAATGGGGAGGAGGCCTAAATTTATTGCCTCCCCATCTGAGAAGGAAGTTAGAGATGTGCGATCCTGTGTCATCTGGCATTTCATGACCAGGAGAAACGACACCAATATATCCGACATCTGTCATCGCTGTGTCTATGGAACCTTGAAGACACCCTGGGGTCGGAGATTTATGATTAGAGGCCAACTCACAGAAAGGCCAAAATCATTTCACAGCTCCTGTGCATCAGCTCCTGTATGAAGGTCCGTAATGAAATTGGCAGGAACTAAACACACACAGTCTCAGTGTGTAAAACCCAGCACAGCGAGTTTCTTCTTCCAACGGCAAGAACCGGGCAAGCTAAGCATTTCTTCATGTATGAAACTTCAGGCAATATAAAATTACCAGTAAGCACTCTTAGACAAAAATGACAAGACCCCCCCCCTTTTTTTTTGAAATACCAGACAACGTTTAGTTCCACATTAAACACTTACTGTTCCATCATCTTCTTCGATGATATCTTTCCCGACTGATGCCAATGTCGTCCATTTGCAATTGTTCTGGGCACGGACCGCACAGCGTTTGTGGGCTTTAAATTTGCATACTGCAGAGAAAACAAAACCAAAGACAGAAAAAAAGTTAAAAGCTTGATGACGAGAAAACGAAATTGCAGAACTCTATTCCAGATATCTCTATCAGATACAAGTCATCCAGTCTCAAGTTAAGTGATGAGTAGGCTAGTCAAATGATCAATTAAACAATGGAATATTTTACTTATATCGACTCAAAATCTGATAAACTGAATCCTTTGAACTCAGAAATGTCTCTGTACACTCAACAATATATGTCCATCATGTATGTGTAAAATCACTATCCATGGAGACAATCACAGCCGGCCAGTGTTAAGAAAAGTGGGAGTCCATCTCTATGGCAACCTCTGAGTTAGCTAGCAACCTCTGGGCAAACTGGTAATGGCTACCAGTAAACATTTCCGAAATTTATGACCGTGGCTGTACATGACATAATTCACCTATGGAGGCCACATTGGCAAGCGGCTGCAGTTACTTCCCATAGACCCATGTGCTACTGCAAGACACAGCCGGTTGATTCGGACGCTGCCTGTCTTACCGGCTGAGGCAGCCTGAGAGGAGAACAACACCTACCTTCACAAGAAAGACCATGTGACGTGACACCGGACAGAGCCTCCCTGCACACGTTGCAGTACGTGGGGCGGGCGTGAGAGCAGGCATACCAGTTGTGCATGCCAGACAACATGTCCCGCATGTGCTCTCCCTCCTGCAGAGACACAGAATAGGCAAGATGCATAAAAATTACCAGTAATTCGTTTATCGGATTCGAGTACCTCATGACAACATACTGCCCACAGGCCATCTACACGTAAGTCCTCAGTGAAGAAGGAAGAGATTTGTGTACATTCTGACAAAAATTGTTGACGTGTACCCTGTGCCATATACATGCTTTGGTATTTAAATATAGTGGGACCATAGCCATGCTGAACGATAGTTACTGGGGGGGTCAGACTTTTGTCCCCGCAACTCAGTCCCAAATTTCCTAACTAAACGAAACTGTCCCCTTAATGTGGGACCTGCCATGAGTCTGACACACCAGCTGGCGTGGGTGAGTATGGTTCATCTGCATGATGCTTAACTTCACAGGAAGAAGGAAACAAGGAGAAAACGGTCAAAATCATTAAATCTGGTATGAAATGAAATCCAGATTCACTCGTCGGGGTCAGATTCCAACCCAGATTGAAGAGCCAGTGGCATGCATCTGTAGTGTTGTAGCATTGCAGCATCTGGATTTCTACACGCCATGAATTCAGTGTTTTTCTCAGCCAATTTCTATCTGTATTCACAATAACATGTTCAATTACGACCCGCAAATCGAGCCCCCGGTAAGGATTTCTACTGAAATGGATTGCTTGTCAGCAAGGTAAATCTACAGCAGTTTACGCTCAGTGGCTAGAAGAGGCATACCCTTGCGCGCAGTATTTCAACCGTGACTTCCCAAGCCAGACGTTTGAACAACATGACCAATGCAATCTGCCGGGCGGCAACCGTCTGATCTGAATCCAATTACACATTTCTACCTGGACTTGTTCATTTTATTAAATTAATATTTCTAATGAATTCCTTTTTCTTATAACTCTTATTAGTTTTCAACTGATGAGGTTATGTACACGTATGCAATGCACGGCTGATCACAGTAACGAAAGTCTTACAGTACAAATTATATATTATTAACTGTTATTAGAATGAATACCACGTGCCATGACAACCGAGCAACATCCCACCCCCCCGCCTCAAAAAAAGCTGAAGAGCCACCCGTACATGTATAATGTGTATTTGAAGGTTTTCAACAAAAACTAATGAGAAGAAAATGCCCTTGACAATCTACACCAAATGTTGCGATACTCAGGACTGATGCCAATGGATGCTGTGCAGTACAGCTATCCACACAGTGCTGTTCTTGTGCCTCCTTTTAAATTTCGTCTCCACCAGTGAGAGCTGCCTTCAGATTTGACAGCAAAAGTAAAATTGTCCCTTTCCAAAGCCTGTTACGTGGGCGGGGGAAAATACAGACTGCACTGATGTACATGGACAGTGCTGCAGTACAGGTTAGCATATAGATTGAAAGCATATTGCAACTGTCTACAAAAACGGCCAGTGACAATCAAACTCTCTAAAAGGCCTTCCCTCGACAGAAAATCAAAAATTCGAAACCCCAAACTCATCTGTAATCTGATCTTTGGCTCCCGATGAAAGAGGACAGTGGGCTCTTTGCATGTAAGATGAGCGGTTTGGAGACTTGGGAAGAGCTCTTTCCTTTCATAATGGAAATAAATCGGTCAGGTAATGGGATGGATCGCTACTGCATTCTGACCTGGTGACGGGGGAGGGGGTATTGTGGTTGGGATGTCAAATGAAGCATTGATGGCGGAACTTGACTCAGCTATTGATGATTTGAAAAAAAATGAAACCGTCCATCCACTGATGTAAACGTTTCCAAATATGTTTAACAAAACAGTTCCCCCACCTTCCCACCCCCCAAAAAACTGACCAGTTTATAAATTTTGTGAAAATGTTCAGATACAACCAAAATTAAAAGAAGAAAGAAAGAAAAAGAATCTGGACCTTCCGTTTACTTTGACACAGGAGATTGTTAAAATTGTTTGTACATATCATTCAATGAACAGCATGCACCTGATTGAAAACTCTTAAACCATAAACACTGTGTATTGTTTGCTGAGAATGTTTTTTCAATAAATTTCAGAGCAATCATTTTCACTCCACCTCTCCAGCGAAACCTAGGTGTTGGCGGAATGTTTAAATGAAATCAGCTAGCCAAAAGATAAACTTGCAACACCTGGGTCCAGTGTCACAGAACTGCTACCAGAATATACTGAGATTGTGCTGAGCAAGAGACTACTTGCTTTAAGCAAAAATGGGATACCAGCCAAAACTACTTTTACATGTACATGTACCTTTTGTGACCACTTCCCTGCTGATTTCTGCTTGGCATATAAATTTGCTAAACAATATTCTGGCACTGCTTTAAATGAGTTTAAATTTTGTTCTTGTTGATAACTCCAAAAGAATTACAATAATAATAATAACAATACAGAGAATCTGTAACATGCCGGTATCTGCTAAGAAAAGACACTCGTGGTGCAATACAAAATGAAACCCAGTCAAATTATCCAGAAATACATGTAAATGTACGTGTAGTATAACCATCCTGAAACATGTGGGTTTGAACTTCAGAGACCTTTTGAAGTCAGTGATGGAGGAGGTACATGTACAGTGTGAATATCTGAAGGGAGTTTGCTCCAAAGATGTGGGCCCCCATGAGAAAAGGCTCTGTCCCCCAAGAATTTGTGTTTTCGGGACGGCAAGCCGGGAAGCATCAGATGATCTCAATCTCCTGGAGGGTCGGTAGTGAGCCAGTACAATTTTGCATGTGGAAGCAGAACCACCCCGGGGCATAACACACAGGGCAGTCCAATGCACACTCACTGATTTTTCTTCCAACCTGGAAAGTATCTTCACTGTCTGGGTCTGGGTCGCTTTTTGACTTAGCGGCTAGCTGTCACTGCTGGAAAGTGGAAACTGAGTGACAGCCAACACTGGCAACTTGAGATGGCGCGTCTGTCGTTATCCCGTGGAGATATCGCATCATCATTCCTTCACATACTTGTGACATTGAGGGCACCCAAAGATTACCGATAGCTGCTGCTACTTGATAGGAAAGCGTAATCTGCTGGCTGCACTTCTGCCCTGCAATATACCATGGGACTTGGTACTTGATTAATTGTACACATTCCTGGAAACTCTTGGGGCACAACTCCACTCTTCAAACACAGTATACAGTGAGATACAGTACTTCACATTTTGGGGGAAAAAAAATCAAGCATCCCCTCATTCACTGCTTAATGTCAGTATGTCTCGGTATCACAAAACTGTGAGTTCTGATTTAGCAGCAGAAAAATGAATTCAGGATGATGGTCTCATTCAAATTCAAGATGAACACCATGCCTTAAGAATGCTCAACCTGGGTCGACAGCATGCTTCACCATTCCTTTCTTGATATGAACTTTGCTTTAATTATTGAGGACGAGTTTTTTTGGCATACAGGCGCATGTATGATATCCTCCCTTTTACAGGGATTTAGAAGGGGTCTGTCATTGTGGCTCCAATTTCAAGTATTCTGGACATGTTTTCATACACACACGTACGGTTCCAATATGTTTCTTGAAATCGAACAAAGCCTGCGTTTGAGTTACACTGACTGAGGACATCCCTAACACACATGTACATAAAAGGTACCGGTAGTCCAATAAAGTTAACCAATAACGATTTTTTTATCCCCCACCCAAAAATATACTGTTATGCAACATGTAGTGATTAATCTCACTATTATCTTTTCTACATTTTTCCATGCCACAAATGCACATGTCCATGCATCTTGAACATACACGTTTGCGTACATGTAGCTAAAACCATGGCTTACAAGAAACAAAGCAGAAAATCGTGTACTTTACCCCCATATCTGTATGTACATCAGCACAGAATGATGAAATCGCAAAATGTGACCAAGACTCTCCCTCGTCGTCCCATCAAAAACTGTAATCTGCCGTGCCGCCACGACTGCAACTGTGGGCGAGTTGTGCCTTCCAAAGCCAGCACTGCTGCTGCCGCGAGGACGTTCAGTCACTACTCTGCCCCCTTAATCAAATTACATGACTGTCCTTCCAAGCGAGTCTGGCTGGCAACCCTTCTTGAAGTTGCCAGCCATGTGCGCATGATGGGGAGGGGAGAGAGGTAGCCATTCAAAGAACTTGGTTTACCTAATGCTAGTCTGGCTGAGCCGTGTAACCAAGAGCTCCAGATCAATACTCTTTTGTTTTTGATGAGGGAGGGCCACTTGACTCGCTGACGTCACGCCGCATCGTAATTCAATCAAAGCCATGTAAACCATCACTCACGCTACAAAGACAAGATAATTTTCTCTGCTTTCTTTTTTGTACAGCCCAGCTGTATTGGCCAGCCAAGCTTTTAATTGGCAACTAGGTTGCACAATCAGGGTGCATTGTCCATTAGTCTTCCAAACCGTGAGCTTTATGGTCTTGCGGGGCAACGGCAGACAACACAGTGGCATGATCTTCCACGCTCGATTCCCAATTACCGCTCACCAATTTATATATCACTGTTTTGTAAATTTGTCAGACCATTTTCAAAGAACAGGTTGTTTACTTGCAAATTAAAAGACTTTCTCTTTGGTGGAGGTGGTTACTTACTTTGATCATAGTCCCATACTGATTTCGTTTAACTGAGAGTGTGCGTGATGTACCCTAGCTGGTATCTTATTCTGGATACGATTTCTGTCATGCAGCAAATTTGCATCACCTTGTGGGGACCTTCGAGTGTCCTCACAACCATTTGGTCCTTGAAGTGATATCCACAAGTCCCAACTGTGCAATGAGTGTGCACATGTACTCTTTGTTTTTGAAGAAATTTATGCAAAGAAAACATGTGGGCAAGTGTTGCCTGACTACTTAAACAGTATTTTTGTAATTTCTATGGACGAGAACAGAAACGAACAAACAAGAATATAAATACAGAAAAATGTCCTGCATCGATCACATCGATCACCTCATACATGTTCATGTGTACATGTGCTTCCATGCAGTCGAACCCGGCATGAGTGAATGAACTTTTGAAAGGAACTGGTACATGTACAGTACATTGTGGATTCGTACATGCATAGTGCAGGCA